CCTGTGCACCAAATTTCTCATGTGAGAAGTTACAGATCACAGTGTCTGTCCCCTAAGGAAAATCCAAACTGCTTGATTTGGCGCCCCAGTTGCACAAAGGGGAACTCCACGTTGGCTGTCCAAAGATCAGCCCTTCCGCTGTGGTTTGCAGCGTCTGTGGGCCAGGCTCCTAGGACGGGCACCCGATACAGTTTGCATAACCCTTGCTTGATTTGCCCCAGGGGCCAGCCCTACTCAGGCTCCTTTGAAACTTCTGATCCACCTGGTCCATATTCTGAAGCACCCCAGTTGCAAGGCCAAAGTCAGAGAAGCCCAGCGGAGGACAGTGCCACAGAGCCCTGTCCCCTGCGGCCCCCGCCCAGCACAACTTGGGGTTGTGCTGTCAGCCTTTGTGCTGTTGACCAGGCCTGTTGCGGCATAGCAGCTGAGGAAGCTTCTGTCCGGGATGCTAAGGAAGGTTATTCAAGGGAATACTAGAAATTTCAAGCTGGGGAAAGCATTGTGCATACTAGATGTCCCAGATAAGAAGAAATGAAACTCCCATTATCAGCCTTAAAATAATAACTACTAATGGGTGAGTAGAAGCCAAGCCCCAAGGGGATTCTTCATCAGGATAGTCATTCCCCTGTCCCGGTTGGGCACCATCCCCCCTTCTCTGCCTGTATCACCAACCTGCCTGCTCCCTCCCGAGTGGCTCTGGTTGCCAGGCAAGCTAGTTAAACCCTGAGTCCAGCAAGCCGACATTCTTAGCCTTCCATCTGTGGCTCCAATGGAGGCTCACAGGGCTGTTATAAAATTTCGGCAAGACTCAGAGCAACAGTGCCAGGAAGGCTTCCATTTTGCTGAGTGTTAGGGTAGCTGGAAGATGATTCCTTATGAGTTCTTGTGCTCTTAGACGGGACCTCAAAATCTATTTACATAGCACCCAACACACACACACACACACACACACACACACACACACACACACACATAGCAGTGCTTGCTTGCCTGGACCCCTCTGCAGCTAAAGTGGTGAAACTCACTGAGGGGGGCTTTTTGGAAAGATTGTTAGGATCTTCTGGGCTGACATGCCTTTGGACCTTTGGGCTTTACCCACCTCCCTTCTCCCCAACATCTTGCAACAACAGAGAGGAGAGGAGGGAGGCGAGAAAAAGCAGGTTCTAGATGATGTGGGTGCTGAACCGGCCCCAGACTGCCTGCCTCTGACTTCATGTTAAATGAAACCAAAAAAATATATCCTTTTCTTTTTTAAGCCACGATTAATCATATTTTCTTTCATTTGCTGCTGAATACAGAAATTCGGGAATATTCTGGAGGAGGGGTGGAAAAGGGGAGGTATTTCCTCTCCCACAATATTCCTCTGATTCTCCCAGAGAGTCCTCACTGGGAAAAGTCATTTAAATTCAATTTAATAAGCATTTATCAGACCCCTGCTATGCATCTGGACTTAAGGGAAGATTGGACTCAGGCCATTCGCCCTCATGGAGTTCACGGTGATCAGTGGCCTTTGGGTCCTCATGAACTCCACAGAACCAAATGGTGCCCAGACTGACACTTCATCATCCATAGTTGCCCACTCTCTCACTTCCTCCCCTACATGGGCTCTTCTCTTGTACTAAAACCCAAACTCAAACTCCCATAACATGCAGACTGTTGACCTTTATGTCTCAGATGTGACTGTGAGTTTGCGACTTGTCCCAGTGGATCCCAACGACTTTTCAAATGAATGGATACCTTCACGGCCTTGAGAAATAGAATGATGCCTACTTTTTTATGTTTATTTATTTATTTAATCGTTCATTTATTTATTTTGAGAGAAAGAGACAAACAGAGCATGAGTGAGAGAGGAGCAGAGGGAGAGGAGGACACAGAATCCGAAGCAGGCTCCGGGCTCCGAGCTGTCAGCACAGAGCCCGGCACAGGGCTTGAGCTCCCAAACTGCGAGATCATGACCTGAGCCAAAGTCTGACGCTCAACCAACTGAGCCACCCAGGTGCCCCAAATGATGCCTATTTTTATTGCTCTTATTGTTTTGTCCACGTAAAAGCAAGGGCTCTTAACTTTTCCCAAAATACTCATCCCCATTTTCTCCTATCAGCTTGACGTCAACCCTCTATGTTGATAGAAAATATATTGGCATCTCCATTTGTTAATTAAGGAACTGCATCCAAAAAGTTGCTATGGTTATCCTCAATCATTTAGATTCTGAAGTTTTGAAATGAGAGAGGACAATGATTTCAAATCAGTAGGGGAAAGATCAACTATTCAGCCAATGGCTTGAGGTAATTGCTTATGCGTTCCAAAAGAAATAAAGAAGTCAGAGCCTAAACCTAACCCTACCTAATGGATTATGGATTAAAGAAATGGATCAAGAGTCAGTGTTTGACTCTTGATTTCGGCTCAGGTCATGATCTCACGGTTCGTGAGTTCGAGCCCCACTTCAGGCTCTGTGCTGACAGCGTGGAGCCTCCTTGGGATTCTCGGTCTCCCTCTCTCTCTGCCCCTCCCATGCTCGTGCTCTCTCTCTCTCTCTCTCTCTCTCTCAAAATAAGTAAATTAAATAAAAATAAAAGGAAGATAGAAATGGCTTTGCCTACCTTCCCCCTGCCATCCTGTGCATGTGTGTGTGTATGCGTGTGTGTGTGTATCTCAAATTATAAGAAGAAATTGTAAAAGATGCTGGACTGCCTCTCTGAGTTGCTTTCCTATCCTTCTGAGAGCCCAGACCGGCCTCCTGCACGTTACTTCCTGCAGCTCTGGTATAGGCTCATCATGTACTCTGCTATGCCCAACACAACACAGAAAAGAGAAAGCTGTATGGCTAGGAGCCTTCTTCCATGGACCATACCCTGTGCAGGGAGAGGGGCTATGAGAGGGGCCTCATAGCCTTGCCTGGGGTTTGACTCCTCTGACCTGACTCCTCCACCATGCTGAATCTGCACCCAGAACACCCAACTCAGAGAGGCAGTCAGCAATATGGGCTAAAGCAGGCAGAGTCCAGAAAACCCGGAAGGGAAGAGTGAAGGAGAAGGGTAGGAGGGGGTGAAAACTCAGCTCCTGACTTCTTTGCTTCCTGGCAGCAAAATTCAGTACTCCAAAGCCCGGTATAAATCAGCAGGAGCCAAAATTCCTGCATGAGTTCCACCCTTTACTCCCTTCACTATTCTTAGGTTTTTGCACTGACACTCCCCAAAGTGTTGGGAGGAGAGGCCGCAGCCTCCTGATCTTGACGCACAAGGTACATCCACAGGTTGGGCATGGAACCCCTCGTTTCTTTCCCTTGGACTCACTCCAGACTGGCCTGGCCCCAGTATGTCTGCCCTATTTGCTCTGCCACAGTGACCTCCTCCACTGGAGCAGACTCGGGAGGTGTCCCGGGTGCCATCTGAGGTGTCGCGAGCGCAGATGCGGGAGGGCCAAGGCGTAACAGAAACACTGGAGACACCCTATATCTGAGTCCACTTGTGACTCCCCCAAGCCCCTCCCATGTGTAGCCCAAAGGCTGCTGGCGGGCAGGAGGGCAAGTACTGCTTCTACCTTGGGACAGAAGGGATATAGACATAGGGAAGCCAAGTGACTTTCCCTGGTTTTAAAGAGAGACAGAACCAGGGAGAGCCCAGGCCTCCTGCCCACCCAGGTCAGTGGTCTTCCTCATCACTATCTTCACTGGGGAGGTGGGAAAAGCCCCTGTAGAAGGACAAGATCAAGGCATATCAAAAGACTTTCCAGATATCCGAAGAAGCGATGTCACTACCCCTGTCCTTCCCTTATTAAAGGCAGAGCAACCTTCCTCACTACGTCTGGCTACCCTACCTGCTTACCCTCAAAACCCCACATGTGCAAGTCAAAGATAAGACGGCTAAGACTTCTTTGGAAGGCAGGGGGAAAGAGAGTAGAGACAGGAAAGGGCCTGCTGTCCCAGTCTTCATGGAACCCTGACTTAATTTCCTTGTTGTTTCTACCTTCCCTCCCTCCTCACCCCCCTCGATCTTTCAAGCGTAAGTCTCCAACCACAGTAGCTCACAACTAAAAGAAACCTTAAGGATTCTTGAATCCAACCTTTTCATTCCACAGTGTAGAGAAGAGTAAGAAGCATGGACTTGGTGTCAGGCAGGGCTGGGTGCAAAGTCTGACTCTCTCACTTAGCCTCCGTGTAACCTTGTGCAGGTTACTTAACGTCTCTGTGCCTCCGTTTGCTCACTACAAAATGGAGATTGATAAGGGTCACAGTGACGGGCAGGTGCCAAGCTATCAGTCAGGGTGAACTACTCTTGCTAACGTCCCCCAAGCATGGGGACCACCGAGGAGGTAGAGACACGGATCTGAGAGTTGAAATGAACTCAGGGCTGGAGAAGGAGCGTGGAGCACATCCCACGACCTTGCTAGTTCTGTGGGAAACTGGCCTCCGCGAGGGGCCTTCTTGGAACATAAAACAAAAGAAACAGAGGGAATTTTGAGGCTATTTAGATCACCCCAGTTCTCACTTGGGGAAACTGAGGCTCTTTCCAATTCAGCAAGGAAAAGCCTTGGGTATTCGGCTCAGGTTGGGGAAGGGATCCAATTATTTCTCAATTCCAGTGCATTCTGGAATGGCCAATGTGTTCACGTCACTGTGACCTAGGAGCACGCGAATGGAACCCACAACCATGGGCCTCTCTGCACAGAGCAGCTGTTCGCCCCAGGAAATCAACTTCTTTTTTTATTAAGAAAAGCTGGAAAGTTATTTTAAAACAGAGAGAGAGAGAGAGGTAGCTCGTCCTAAAAATAGCTGTAATGCAAAAGCTCATTATTCAACAATCCGTGTTGCTTACGATGCAAAAAAAAAAAAAAAATTAACAACTTTAAGTTCAGCGAATGCAAAGTTGGAGAGCTCGAGGGAAGGGAGGGGCTGTTTGCCAGGAAACCTGTGACTGTGGCTTTTTATGAATGGGGAGGCCTCGCCGAACCCACAATATAAAAGGGGGACACAGTAGGTGAAGGTCTGCACACCAGGGGCTCTCTCTTGTGACACCAAACCACAAGGCCAACTCTCAGAAGGCAGAGCTTCGCCATGCCCAGCCCAGCACTTCTGTGTTTCCTGGTCTTCCTGGCCGGGGTAGGAGCCAGCCGACACCAGAGCACCCTGTCTGAGGACAACTGCACCCACTTCTCAGTCAGCCTGCCCCACATGCTCCGAGAGCTCCGAGCTGCCTTCGGCAAGGTGAAGACGTTCTTTGTGAGTATGAATGCCCTCCTGTCCTTCCTTCCTTGCCGGGACCACCTCAGCCAGGCATTCTGCTGGAGCTCCAAGAACCCTCCTTCTCATTCAAACCTCCATCCCCGGGATCCATTCCCCTCAGACTTCAATTCTTAAGGAGTCCCAGGTGGAGCCCTAGATGGAGTGAGTTAAACTAAGCCCAGGTGATGCAACAAATGTGTGGGGGGAAAAGCCACCTCCCAGGCAAATGCACTGGGACTCCTATGCTTAGAGACATGGGAGAAATCACAAAGGGTCCGACTGAAGATGAAGATGTCCCCCAAACCTTGTGGCAGGGAAACATAAATGGCCTCAGCCGAGCGGGCTTCCAGAACCAGGCAAAGCCTGATGGCTTGGGCAAGAGCCGTACAGAGGGGAAACCTGCATGAGATGCATCCCATCTCCAGACGGCTTTCAAAGCTGCCGCTGGACGTCCGCAGCGAGGAGAAAAGAACAGCAAAGAGCACCTAAGGGGGTGTGGGTGGCCCCTTTGAACCCGATCCAGCTCTGCAGAAAGGAGAGCAGGACCGAGTCAAGCTTCGGCCTTGGCTTCGAAACCTGGCCGAATTTTAAAAATAACTTGATCCTGATGTAACTAAGGGACCCGATTTAACTAAGGGTTCCAGCACTGTTGAATGTCCTTGTTTTGAAAATCTCCTTTCCTGCACTAATGAAAACTCAGAAGCTCTATAAATAAGAGGGCATCAGAAAGACATTTATTTCAGTTATTTCCTCAAACCTCGGGCTCACTCTCCTTTTGTTCTTCTTGCAGCAAACCAAGGACGAGCTGCACAGCATATTGTTGACTAGGTCCTTGCTGGAGGACTTTAAGGTGAGGGCCCGGGGGGCGTGTGGGAGGCGAGCTTGCAGCGTGACTCAGAGAAGGGAGGCCGGGAGCTGGGTCTGCTTCCTTTGCTTTGAAAAGGAGAAGTGGAAAGATCTTAACTCAGCACACAGCCAAAGGGCTGGCCCTGGGGGAGGTGGCTGGTTAAGAAAGGTCCCTGGGGACAGAGCTGTCCCCCTCAAGCCGGGGCAGCCGTGCTTCCTCCCAGTCACCGACCGCATGCCCACCCCCAACCCCCCACCCCCCACCCTTTAGGGTTACCTGGGTTGCCAAGCCTTGTCCGAGATGATCCAGTTTTACTTGGAGGAGGTGATGCCCCAGGCTGAGAACGAGGACCCAGACATCAAACAGCACGTGAACTCCCTGGGAGAAAAGCTGAAGACCCTCCGGCTGAGACTGCGGCGCTGTGTGAGTGCGGATCGGTTCTTCCCCTCGGGGCTCGGCAGCCTCTTCCCACTCACACCCGGAGAAGCAGAGACAGCCTGGCGGGAGGACTCTCCGAAGGCGCTAGAGTTCTGTCTCTTGCTCATTTCTTTCTGAGCGGGGAGTGGGGGAGGCTGCTGGGCATTTACATGTTTGCAAACAGCTTTCCTGTTATTTGTGAGTCATTTGTGGGTTATTAACTATTCCCCTCTCTCTTTACGAAAGGGGCCCAGAGCTTCAGTCTGGGCTCCCTTTTCCCTTTGGATCTAGACCCCGAGCCCAGCCAGATGGGCCAGGAAGCGAGAGTCCCTCGGAGAAGAAACTCCCTTTGCTTCTTACTCTCCACCTTTGGAAAGCAGAGCCCTTAAGCGAGGCCCAATTGACAGGAGTTTCCCTGGCATTTTAGAAGGCCCAGGGGACTACTCGCCACCAGGCGAGTGTCTATGAACAATTCCCTAGGATAAAAATTTCTCCAACTGAAGTGATACCCTCACCTCTGGTTTCCTCTGTTCTCTCACTGATAATTGGGGAACCAGTTGGTCTCTATTTGTAGGACGGGACCATGCGAAGGTTTGGGTCGGCATGACTAAGTCTCTGCATCTCTCTTCCTTGGAGGACTTAGAAATGGTCCTTGGTGGCTGGAACTGAAGAAGAGGGACAGGACAGAGAAGCAGGAAAGGACAGAATGGCTGGCTCAGCACTTGTCAGCACTGTGGTGTTCGAAGAGGAAGCTCCAGGCTCCATCCCCTGGGTTTTCATGCAAGCTTTGCAAACATCTCAGGGAGGCTCCTGGAGAAGCACTTTTCATCTCCCTGGGCTGTTTCCTCTCTGTCTAGTGGGCCAGGGTGACGGAGGGCTCAGTTCTCCCCAGGCGCTGTGGGGGTTAGGTATCCAAGATGAGTCTGACTCCTTCTTTGTGCTTCCAGCTTGTCCCCCAAGTGCTGTGGACACAGGAGCTGGGAGCCCACGGCATTGACACTTTCTCTTTTCCTCCACAGCATCGATTTCTGCCCTGTGAAAACAAGAGCAAGGTGGTGGAGCAGGTGAAGAGTACCTTTAGTAAGGTAAGTGGATGGCGGCAGAAAGGGTTTGGGGAACGTGACCTCTACCCACTCCCCCAAGTCGTCAGGTGCCGAGCAGGCCCCGTCCTTCTCTCAGAGGGGGTGTGGGAACCCCACAGATGGTGTGACCTCCCCAGCCAGTGAGGCGCTGCCGCCTTGGTTATATTTGTTTTCTGTGAAGTGTCTTTGGGGGTTTCTAAATGACTGCTCCCCGCCTTTGCAGGCGGGTTGAGGGTTGAGACAGCCAGCCAGCCTGCGAACGCAGCGAGCTAGATGCTGGGGGGAGTGACAAAGGAAACAGAAAGTAGCTTGTTGGGAATCTAGACTCAAGCCACACGTGCAGGAAGCCAACACGTGAATGTGCACACACAAACACACCCAGGGGTTCAGCCTGGACTCCCCAAAACTCAGAGCAGGAAGTAGCATTCTCATCGACCTGGAGTTTGTCCATACTCACTTTCCAGGTGCCGTTCACACCTGCCAAAGTGCCTGAGAATGTCAGCTCTCAGATCGAGTGGGGTTTCCCGCTTCCAACTGTCGGTGAACTCTTCAACCCCGCTGCCCAGAAGCCATGTGGTCTTGTCCTCTTTGTGGGCTGGGGACAGACACTGGGCAGGGTTCTGGCATCAGGGGACATAAACGCCCTGATAATGGGCCAGAGGAGCAGGGCAGGGCCTGCTCCGTCCAATGGTGGGAGAGCGTCAACATAAAAGGGCTCCCTTCCCTCTTCCTACTGTCCTGCTGTCCAAGTTGTTCCCCTAACGTCTTTTCTCCAAATTCTGAATAAGCGTCATGTGAGCACATGACCTTTAAAATTGTTGAAAAGGCATCATTTTGTAGACTGTGCCTTATGAAGTGAATGTTCCTCTTGTTACTTGCTAGTCATGTTTTAGGTAAACATGTAGCCTTTCCCAAGGCACCGGGAATAGCCTTGGGCTTCTAGGCTCCGTCCTTCACCTCCCAACGCATGGGAGCAAGGGTAACTCCTGGGTCCCTGAGTCATGCCCATCCAAACCAGGGACTCATTTGCTCACTCAGATGGGGCTTTCACTAAACATTTTCTATCTCCCTACACAGCTCCAAGAGAAAGGTGTCTACAAAGCCATGGGTGAGTTTGACATCTTCATCAACTACATAGAAGCTTACATGACAATGAAGATGAAAATCTGAAACATGGTGGGGAACGAAACATCCAGGATGCAACTCTTCTGGACTCTAGGACATAAATTGGAGATCTACAAAATCCTACTCAGGGATATGGGAGAACCAAACAGCTCCTTGGAGAACCCGGTCATACCTCTCTCTTAGAATATTTATTACTTCTGATACCTCAACTCCCATTTGTATTTATTTACTGAGCTTCTCTGTGAACTATTGAGAAAGAAGCCCAATATTATAATTTTTTTCAATATTTATTTTTTTTCACCTGTGTGTGTGTAAGCTGTTTATGTAGGGTGATACCCTATGATATTTGAGTATTTTAAGAGAAATTGTAACTTATATAAGGAAAAAAATGTTTCTTGGGGAGCCTACTGATGCTTCCATTCCAAGCCTGACCATACTTATAGCTGTTGAGCTATTGTTCCTGACTTCCCTATAATTTCTCTGGGCCTGGGGTTCCTAGAGTATTGTAAAGACTCTTACCCTCTTAGGAGGAGAAACTAGGGAGCCCCTTTGATCATTAATATTCCAGTGGCTCAGAGGGATTCCCTTGACCTCATTCCCCAACCTCTTCATTCTTGAAAGCTGTGTCCTGCTTGTTATTTTATAACAACCTAAAGTTGGTTCTAATAGAACTCAGTTTTAACTAGAAGCAATTCAATTCCTCTGGGAATGTTACATTGTTTGTCTGTCTTCATAGCAGATTTTAATTTTTAATAAATAAATGAGTCTTATTAAAATTATGTTATGGCATCATTTGACTTTTGTTTGACTAAAATTATTCCCTCAATGTTTCCAAGATAGAAGAGCGTAGGGAAATGAATTCTGCATTTCAGGTAAAGAAAACCAACTACACTCTCCCAGAGAGGAGGCAAGTTCCAAATCTGATCAGAGGGGGAAAAAAAGTTTCACTTCAAAAGGCAATAGCAAAGACCACCAGTTTTCCTACAAACTCAATCCTTTAAGAAATTATCCTTAAATTCTTAAAGATCATGTTGATTTTCAAGGCTAAGGATAAAGTTCTGTAGATACCAAAATTAGAAAGACTGGCAGAGGACTTTTTTCTGTTTTGTTTTTGTTTTCTGGGGTCTTGTTTTGTTTTGGTTTGGGTTTTTGTTCTGTTTTGTTTTGGCTTCTTCAAGCCCCAAAGGTCTGGGTGAATACTAATTGACCAGGGCTGTTGAGAAAATTAAGATAAAGAGCTAACATGGCTCCTAGGGCTAAGAGATGGTCCCTATACACGTTTGATTGTTGGTATTCACAACTAAAAACCCCTACCAAATCCTCCTTGAGCTGAGATCAGAGGCCCACCCAACCGAGTAGAATATAAACAGATTAGCCCACTTGATAGAATACCCAAGGATTCAAGTGGCTGCAGTCCCTTCTCTTCCCTCCTTAAGCTACCAGACAAATGTGAGGTTGGCTTTTGACTGCGGTCTATTGGGAGGGGTGTGGTGGCTGGGGAAGCCCTACTCAAGGCCCCGTGACTTGGAGGAGAGGGAGGGAAACAATGGTCTGAGTAAACACTGATCACCCTCATACTCTGCCCAGGCGGCCCTGGTCCGGGGGAGGATAGGGGCCAACTGGCTGTGGTCAGTTTTTCAGTAAGACCTGACTCACTTTAGTTAAAGTAACCATAGGAAGGAAGTGGGAAGCATCAAAGCTGAAATTCTGAGATGAAAGGTTAAGAATGGAGGCCAGCTGAAGACCAGGAGAGAGGAGTGAGGCTCTCTACAGCAGGGCTCTCTGTACTAAAATGGAGAAACTGAAGTTTAGGCTGTTAGGGCCCTCTGCTAGGCAATGCATACTAACTTAAGGTTGAGGTTCACACCTCATGTGAGGGAAGTGGGCATCTGAAACCAAGAGACAGAAACTCACCTAAAGAAGCCACATGGCTGATAAGATGTTGACAACAGCCACAATTAATTGAGCGCTTTTTTTTTTTGAGCTAGTTGTTGCTAGGTATATGTGTATCAGGCATGCTATGGGGTATTATTATTGCTATCTTCTGTAAGAGGAAACAGATGTTCAGAAATGTTGGTGTGCCTTGGCCGCATAGATTATACGGAGAACGGAGAACTGAGAATAGCGTCAAATGCTTTTCCCTTCGTATTAATTATCTATCGATGCCTCCAAAATTTAGCAGCTTAGAGCAGCACACATTTTTTGTCTTTTCCTGTAGGTCGGGAATCTGAGAATGACAACTAGGGGTTTTGGTTCAGGGTCTCTAATGCGGTTGCAGTCAAAATAACATCCAAGGCTGCAGTCATCTGAAGCTTGGCTGGGGTTGGACAAAACACATCCAAGATGACGCACTTACATGGCACGAGGACTTAGTTCCTCACTGGCGACTGGCAGGTGGCCTTGGTTCCTTGCTACGTGGTCCTTTCTGTGGGGCTTCTCTGGTGTCTCCACAACACAACACAACAGCTGTCTTCCCCAGAGCCAGTGATCTGAGAGAGAGCAAGGAGGAGGTCATGGTGTCTTTTCGACCCAATCTCAGAAATCTCTTCTGAGATTTCTCACTTCCTTAGAAGTGAGTTGGCAAGTATAGCCCATATTGAAGGGGAGATAAATTAGATTCCACATTTTGAAGGGAGGCGTCTCAAAGAATTTGTGGACGTCTTTTTAAACTACCACATCTTTCTAAGAATTTAGAAAACATAGCTCTGTGCTCGAATGGCACATCAGGCTCCTGGGTTGGGAGTGGGGGTAAGGGGAAGAGTCGGGTAAGCATCTCACCATGGAGAGGGCATCATCATGGACATAGCCCTCCTCCAGTCCTCTCTCGTGGGCTCAGTCTAATATGTTTACCTCTTTGAGCCTCAGTTTCTCACCTGGAAAACTAGCAGAAACTTTCTTCCCAAGTGTTATCTACCGAATGTTTGTGTTCCCCCCAAATTCCTATATTGAAGCCCCAACCCCCAGTGTGATGATATTTGGAGATGAAGCTTATGGGAGATAATTTTGTTGAAGGAAGGTGGAGCCATCCTCCTATAAGTGCCCTTATAAAAAGAGACACCAAAGACCTTGCTCTCTCCATCTCCCTCTATCTCTCTCCATCTCTCTTTCTTCACATGTGCCCAATAAAAATATCCTGTTGAGCACACATAGAAAGATGACAGTGGCTACAAGCCAGGAGAAGAGGTCTCAGAATGAAACCTACCATGTTGGCACCTTGATCTCGGACTTCCAGCCTCCAGAACCGTGAGAAATAATTTTGTTCGTTTGTTTAAGTCGTGCAGTTTACGGTATTGTGTTATGGTAGCCTGAGCTGGCTAATGGACCAGACTTGATATAAGGGTCCAATAGAATGTCAGGTATGAAGGTACATATGTCGTATAGATTGGAAATCTAGAGATGAGAAGATGCAGTTTAGATGATCGGGATTTTTTTTTTTTTTTTTTGCAACAAGCCTTTATTCTCTAAAAAGAGCAACCACCTCTTCTCCCATGGCCCTCTTCACCTCCCACTAGAGTTTAGATAGAAATGAAGAATGAGAATCTCAGTCTATGGCCCAAGCTGCTAAGGTGAGGAGGGTGGGACCAGGGAGAGAAGCTCCCAAAATTTGTGATGACAATGTGGTTACCCTACCCAGCCACTGAAAGAAATCCAACAGATCGAAAGGTTCTGGAAGGAAGGGGTTGATATCAGAGATGTGAAGAAAGAGGAAAGAGAATTGGCTCAATGGCAGAAGCTACTCACTCTATGGCTTGTTGACCCTCAAAATGCTTATAAGAGTGGATCTAATTGTGGGACACGGGGACCAGCTTTAAGCCTGAGGGAGAAGCAGGCATAACACTCCAAGAGAGTGAGAGCTGTATCCTAAGAGCAAACACTCAGAATTAAAAATGAAACGAAGATCTTTAAACTTTCACAAGCTGCAGAACTGGCTACAGAATGAACCAGTCAACTCTACCTTGGAGTGGGTAGTGGGTCCCAGGGGACACAGGTATTCTATTATTTAACCATCCTTTTACTCATCAACTCAACTTGGTGACTTTGGAAATTTTACTTCCCCTCTCTGGGCTTCCATTTCCTCAATGAGGAAACAAGGCAGTAAGTCTGAATCAATGATTTTCAGCTGGGACCACTAGAGTCACGCACGTTCCTGAAAGTATTCATGGTGGAGAGACTGTGGGAACAATTTCCCAAATTTGAAAAAGTCTAATGAAATTGTACGTTTGCTATCCCCACCTCCTGTAAGTCTGCACAGTTTCATTAAAAAACACTTGTATGTGCTCGGCTGAAGCAAGAGCCCCTCGGTATGGAAAGGCAAGTCACCTCATGCTGGCCAGAAGCTCTATTTTTCTAGTCATCTATTATATCTTTGATTAATAAAAACAGAAAATAGAATTATTTTTGTAAATTTTTTTAACCAGCCAAAATATTTTAAAATAGAGAGTCTCTGGAGGAAATTAATAACGGCAGTCCTTTGTGGTTAGAAGCTTCAAAACCACCAAATTAGATGAACTCCAAGTGCCCTCTGAGCCCATAGTTCCTAATTCCAGTATCTGATTCCTCCAATCAGCCAGGGATATTCCCACTCGAGCCCTTTTCCGGGACACGTTCCTGTCCAGAGAGTCTGCACTGTAATTTTCCAGACAGATTACCAGTCATCTGTGTACTATCAACAGCTCCCATCTTCCAGCAGGGTTGAGCAGCCACAGAGCTCTGAGTTTTCAGAAGCCTCCTTGACATTCTCTCTGGAGAGGATGGAGGAGACAAAGACCTACGGGAAAATAACACAGCTTGTTTCTTACTCCACAGCACAGGCGTGATGTGCTCAGCCTCTGGAATCTGCCAAACCTCCAAGCTGCGTGACCTTGACACATCGCCTTCTTCGGTATTCTCCTCTGTGACACGGAGAGAATAATCATTCCTTCCAGGTGTTGTTGTCATAAGAAATAGAGGTATGAATACATGTAAAGCACAGAGCAAATACTTAGTAAAACCAGCTTTTCCCTTAGGCATTTGGAAAAATGCTCACCTGAGACCAGATGGTGAGATCACTGCCATCACCATGAGAAACAGCCAGACACACCCTGTGTGCCCATCACTGAACCTGGACTTTCCTTAAAATGTTTTCTGCCTCCCTACCCACCACTTCTGGATAGGAAGAGAAAACGGACCATCCTGGCACTTGGGAAGGACAGAAAGGAAATGACATTTTCTTGAGTGCCTGAAGAACTACTTGGCTTGATGAAGTGAATGTATACATCAGTTATAGCTACTAGAGTTACATTGGTTCAGTGAGCAGAGGCTTACTAGAGGTGCCTAACTGCCATCCAAAGCCATAATAGTTACACATACCATTAAATAAATATTAGGTTAATTACGTCGAAAGTTTTTATTGATCACAGCCCTGGCCTTTGTTCATATACGTTCGTTATCCATCACGGTTACTAATCTGTTAGCACCCTAAAAAATGAGACAGTCTACCACACTGCATCTTCCCTTACCATTATTCAAGTAAAAAAATACATTTTCCCCCCAAAGTCAAGAAGTCATTGTATGACAGAGCCCATAGTCCATCAAATATGCAACCCAGAATCTCACGCCTATGTGAAAAAGTCTTTCTGGATTATTTAGAAGAAACGGATGTCATGCCCCCAGCTGAACCCTATCATACCTCTACCAGAACTGAATTAGTAACCGTGGCTAGTATGCAGCGTAAGTAACTAATCAGGGCTTCTCGCAGAATATTCTCTACATTCGTATCTAACAAGGATGAGATCAAATCAAAACAGGGGCAG